AGGTGGTGTGGTTTTCCCATTTTGATTTTCTTTCCAGGGCATATTTCTAGCTGCTCAGTAAATTTTGTTCCCCAAAAAGGGAAAACGATCAAACAAAAATGATCCTAAATGGGGTGAACAATAGATTAAAAAATCTGATTGGTCCAAAAAAGAGGGGATATATAGGCAAATTTAAAAAAGGAGAGGGGCAATTAAAAAAATCGTTTATTTCAGTTAAAGAGAGAAATAAAAAAGGGAATTAAAAAAAGCAAAAAAAAGGGTTATGAGGTTAAAGTTGCAAGAGAATCGAAAAACTTTAAACCCAAAAAAAATTCTTTTAGGTAACAGAAGTAAAAATCAGGGGGCAAGATAGGCCCCCCAAAAAATTCCTCGGGTCACCCCACTGACAGTGAAAGGAATTTTGTAGAATTTTAACACATACTTCCTCTCAGTTTTTTTCACAGGAGGGTACCATTTATATTTTCCTGTTAAAGATAAATTTTTGTAAACCCGGACGATAATAAAAATGTGCACTATTTGGGGCACAAAGTGACATGGTTTCCCTTTTGGGAAATAGATTTTTTTTAAAACCAACAAATCCCCAGGCCCTGATGAACTGTATGCAAGGGTTTTAAAGGGGAAAGTAAAGAAGGGCTTAGCACACCTTTGGCTAATCTTTTAAACCATATCACTACAAACTGGCTGGTGCCGATAAGTGGAAAATGGAAAATGTGATCCCTATTTTCAAAACAGGGACAGGTCCTTAGTTTCAAACTATAGCCCAATAAGCCTAACCTCCTGGGGGAAAATTTTATGGAATAAATTAATTGCGGGCAGTTCGTAGCCCCCTTGAAAAGCAAAATTTAATCAAGGGAATTCGCATGGTTTTACAAAGGGACTTTCCCTGCCTTACAAATTTTATTTAACTTTTTTCACTAAGGTATTTTGGGGGGTAATCGTGGGAACGAAAAAGATATTGTGTTATGGACTTCAGTAAGGCTTTTGACAGGGTCCCCCCACGAGACTATTGAGGAAAATTAAAGCACATGGGAAAAGGAGGAGAAATTTTTTCCTGGGTAGAGGCATGGTTGACAAATAGGCAGCAAAGTTTGCATAAAAGGGGGGAATTTAAGTGGGAAGCTCACGACGGTGTTCCACGGGGGGCGGGTTGAGCCCCCCCGCTGTTCACAAACTACATAAAGACATAGATGAGGGCAAAAGACGACATCGGGAAGTTTGCCGTGCAACCCAAAAAAAGGCCCCTCGAATTCATTTTGACGAGGGCCTTGACCCCAGGAAAATTTTTAATAACTGATGCAGTGTCGAAAAGTGGGAGATGCAGTTTTAAAATAGACAAATGCAAAGTTCAAATGTTGGGGGACAATAAAAAACCCTGCCACATAAAACTAAATAAGTAATCTTAATATTACGGATTGCGAAAAAGATTTAGGAGTTCTGGTTAGCAGTAATCTGAAACCAAGACAACAGTGCATAAGTGTTCGCAATAAAGCTAATAGAATCCTTGGCTTCATATCAAGAAGCATAAATAATAGAGTCCTCAGGTTGTTCTTCAACTCTATACATCCTTGGTTAGGCCTCATTTAGATTATGCTGCACAGTTTTGGTCACCGTATTACAGAATGGATATAAATTCTCTGGAAAATGTACAAAGGAGGATGACAAAGATGATCCCATGTATCAGAAACCTTCCCTATGAGGATAGACTAAGGGCCCTGAAACTGCACTCTCTAGAAAGACGTAGAATTAGGGGGGATATGATTGAGGTTTATAAGTGGAAGACAGGAATAAATAAAGGGATGTAAATAGTGTGCTGATAATATCTAGCCTAGACAGGACTCGCAGCAATGGTTTTAAGTTGGAAAAATTCAGATTCAGGAGGGATATAGGAAAGTACTGGTTTGGTAATAGAGTTGTGGATGAGTGGAACAAACTCCCAAGTACCGTTATAGAGGCCAGAACGTTGTGTAGCTTTAAAAATAGGTTGGATAAATACATGAGTAGATGTGGGTGGGTGTGAGTTAGACCTGATAGCTTGTGCTAACGGGTCGGTTGCCGTGTTCCTCCCTTGAGTCAATGTGACCTGACCTGACTAGGTTGGGTGCATTGGCTTAAGCCGGTAGGGACTTGGACCTGCCTCGCATGGGCCAGTAGGCCTTCTGCAGTGTTCCTTCGTTCTTATGTTCTTATGTATAGCAGGACGAGCACACGCTCTCGCCTGTTTCAAAGCTAGGAACTAGTAGGGAATACTGTTGTAATGGTAACAGCTCACGCAGCGAGTTTCAAATGCACAGCACCATTTCTGGTAATATTAAGCCTAGGCACAGGGAATGTAATCAATGCTGCAGCAAGACCAGAGATAGTAAAGAGATTAAACAACTCATCTACAGAGGACGAAGTAGGGAGAACATCGTGAAAAGAGGTATAGCTTGAATAGTGTGCCAAAACTGCTGATGGGAACGACGAGGAGGTCGGGCTTAAGAATGAGAAGTAATGATAAAAGGAAAATGATGGCTGTCACGAAGATCAGGTGCTATAGACCAATCAAAGTCCAGTTCTGTAGAAAAAGAATGTATAAAAAGATCCACACAGGAAAGACTGTGAGCACGAGGCTTGAAACGCAAAGAGGTACCATGTTTAAACCATGAAGTGAGAACAGGCTCTAACTGATCCCCACGAAAGTCACAGTGGGTACCTCCCCAGAAGAAATGATGAGCATTTAAATTACCTTGTAAAAGGAGTAGTAGAGGTAGGGAGGAAATCAGAAAATGAATATCAGGAATAGACGGCGGGTGAGAAGGAAACGATACAAGGAACAGACTATGTACCACTTGCACAAATAAACATAGGCCACAGTATAATGAAGAAGAGAATGAACGGAAAGCCGAGAATAAGAAATATCATTGCTTACAAGAAGTGCGTTCTCGTTTAATGTCTCGTCGGGAATAAATCAAGTGATTGTCCGTTGCAGTTTTTGAAGACAAGAAATAAGCGGAAAGAGTGACGCAAGAGGCAGCAAAGGGAGATGGAGTAGAGGGCGAAGAGACATTGGTGACTGTAGCAGGAAGAAACAAAGGAAGAATAGTGGTGTTCTGGGAAGGAATCTAAGTGGAGACAGGGAAAGTAATGGCAGGAGGAAAGGGAAAAGACACAGAGGTAGGGAAAGTTAAACGCAGAGGAGCAAGAGGTTGGAAGGAAGTTTTGGTGACTGAGGGAGTTTTGGGCCTTTTAGGTTTTGGAGGAAGAGATTAGGACCCAACCAGGAAGTCTGTGTCGATGGAGAAACACGTGAGAATAATAAAACAGCAAGATCTGAGAACGAAATGTCTATGTATTGTAACATGGTTGTCGTCAATAGAGTGGAGAAGGGAAATATTTATCACCTTTCACAGTAACAATACAATCCCGTTCTAGAGGGAGTGAAAAGACACGTTTTGGCCAACATACCTCATGAGTGCTTTGCTTCTGCCATGGTCAGTGAGGTAATCAGTAGGTATCGTTTGCTGAAGTGAAAAGAATTTCGTCCAAGACTGACTCTGAAACTCAGCTTGGAGGGAAAGATAGCGTCCTTTTTCGAGCAAAAGAGAATGTCATTAATAGAGTCAGGATAATAATATAATATAATATCTTCAAATCTACAAGTACATGTACAAGGTATACAGACCTAGCTGACATCAATGACGTACTACTATATAGAAAACCGCTTGTTATGCAGAGCATTTCGGGCAAATTAGGTCAGTTTTGTTCCAGGATGCGACCTACACCAATCGAATAACACCCAGGTACCCATTTTATACTGATGGGTGAACATGGACAATAGGTGTCTTAAGGAAACACGTCCTAATGTTTTCCAGCCGTACCAGGGATTCGATCCCCGGACCTCAGTGTGTGAGCTGAGTGCGCTAGTGATGGAGCTACGGGACACCGTCAAGTACGTGTCGGAGTCGTCTAGACAATGACCTCTAATGAATCCATCCTGTGACAAATGAACGAAACTAAAATCGACGCTCTGTCCTGGGAGAAGCCGGGAGTATGGTCACAGTAGAGCTAAGATCAGAAGTATCACAAGAGTCAGGTGGAATGGCGGTACCGGAGTCAGGCAACGAAGTGTTGCTCAAAAAGGTGTCGGGTTGCAAAGAAGGTTCATGGGGATGCCACATGGGTAAGGGGCCAGGGTGGAGGCAAAATTACGACTGTCCATAAATAGGTTTTTTGTGTGTAAAAAGGAGGGGAGGGGGGAAAAGAGAGTCAGCCCCGAGGAGAAACGATTCAAAAGTGCCTTCGATGCGACCAGTAGTGATGCTGCTGCATGGTAACTGCCCCTTACCTGACTGGAGGGCCAGAGGGCAGCCAGCACAACAGCGGATAATCCAAGGCAAAGAGCACTACCACCGAGATTTTCAACAGAATGGAAGGGATACTGATCCTTTTTTCTTGTTCCAAGGAGCTGAAATTCATAGGGAGGAAATATTCCCAAATAAGGATGAGGGGAGGGTGGAGGGCATTTAGATTAACTAGGAGGAAAGAGACAAGAGGTTTATTTTCCCGCATCAAAAGCCTCTTCCACGTCAAGGGACCCCCTTGTCCTTGAAGGAATCTTTCAGTAAAGAGTAAAGCTTTTTTTGAAAGTTAGTGTAATAAATTAACAGAAACCTTACTGGTTAGTGTGAAATCGATTGTCTTGAAACCTAACAAAATAAATGTTATTTAGATCAGGTATTAGCATGCCTTGTATTTACCCTAGTACTCTGTGCTAGGTAGTTAGTTCCTAGATAGTAACTACTCAGGGAAGAATTACTGTTCTGTTACATTAATGTAAGAAGCCTGTTAAATTATTTACAATTTGGCAAAGTTTTCTGATTTTTTCGTTAAATAAAATTGTATTAAATTTAATAAACTTCTAGTTAAAATCATTATACATATACATTATACATTGGAATATTTATACGTTATACATTGGAATATTATTTTTTCTAATATTTGACACCCATTTTGGTCGGCAGGCATGCATGGTGTCTCTGGAGCGCTGGTGGTGAGGCGAGACAGTCAAACAGTGCCAGAGTTTGGCGAACACTTCCTGTCGGTGACCGCATCAGACACTACACTCTACCCGCCCGTCACTCACCACCACTATACTGAGGAACCTGCAGTGTTCCAGGTGAGGGCAGGTACACCTGGGATCAGATGCAGGTGAGGGCAGGTGCTACTGGGATCAGATGCAGGTAAAGGCAGGTACACCTGGGATCAGATGCAGGTGAGGGCAGGTGCAAGTGGGATCACTGGCAGGTGAGGGCAGGTGCACCTGGGATCAGATGCGGGTGAGGGCAGGTACACCTGGGATCAGATGCAGGTGAGGGCATGTGCTCCTGGGATCAGATGCAGGTGAGGGCAGGTGCACCTGGGATCAGATGCAGGTAAGGGCAGGTACACCTGGGATCAGATGCAGGTGAGGGCATGTGCTCCTGGGATCAGATGCAGGAGAGGGCAGGTGCACCTGGGATCAGATGCAGGTGAGGGCAGGTGCACCTGGGATCAGATGCAGGTGAGGGCAGGTACACCTGGGATCAGATGCAGATGAGGGCAGGTGCACCTGGGATCAGATGCAGGTGAGGGCAGGTACACCTGGGATCAGATGCAGGTGAGGGCAGGTACACCTGGGATCAGATGCAGGTGAGGGCAGGTGTACTCTCACCTAGTTGAGGTTGCGGGGGTCGAGTCCGAGCTCCTGGCCCCGCCTCTTCACTGATCGCTACTAGGTCACTCTCACTGAGCCGTGAGCTTTATCATACCTCTGCTTAAAGCTATGTATGGATCCTGCCTCCACTACATCGCTTCCCAAACTATTCCACTTACTGACTACTCTGTGGCTGAAGAAATACTTCCTAACATCCCTGTGATTCATCTGTGTCTTCAGCTTCCAACTGTGTCCCCTTGTTACTGTGTCCAATCTCTGGAACATCCTGTCTTTGTCCACCTTGTCAATTCCTCTCAGTATTTTGTATGTCGTTATCATGTCCCCCCTATCTCTCCTGTCCTCCAGTGTCGTCAGGTTGATTTCCCTTAACCTCTCCTCGTAGGACATACCTCTTAGCTCTGGGACTAGTCTTGTTGCAAACCTTTGCACTTTCTCTAGTTTCTTCACGTGCTTGGCTAGTGTGGGTTCCAAACTGGTGCCGCATACTCCAATATGGGCCTAACATACACGGTGTACAGGGTCCTGAATGATTCCTTATTAAGATGTCGGAATGCTGTTCTGAGGTTTGCTAGGCGCCCATATGCTGCAGCAGTTATTTGGTTGATGTGCGCTTCAGGAGATGTGCCTGGTGTTATACTCACCCCAAGATCTTTTTCCTTGAGTGAGGTTTGTAGTCTCTGACCCCCTAGACTGTACTCCGTCTGCGGCCTTCTTTGCCCTTCCCCAATCTTCATGACTTTGCGCTTGGTGGGATTGAACTCCAGGAGCCAATTGTTGGACCAGGTCTGCAGCCTGTCCAGATCCCTTTGTAGTTCTGCCTGGTCTTCGATCGAATGAATTCTTCTCATCAACTTCACGTCATCTGCAAACAGGGACACCTCGGAGTCTATTCCTTCCGTCATGTCGTTCACAAATACCAGAAACAGCACTTGTCCTTGGACTGACCCCCGTGGGACCCCGCTGGTCACAGGTGCCCACTCTGACACCTCGCCACGTACCATGACTCGCTGCTGTCTTCCTGACAAGTATTCCCTGATCCATTGTAGTGCCTTCCCTGTTATCCCTGCTTGGTCCTCCAGTTTTTGCACCAATCTCTTGTGTGGAACTGTGTCAAACGCCTTCTTGCAGTCCAAGAAAATGCAATCCACCCACCCCTCTCTCTCTTGTCTTACTGCTGTCACCATGTCATAGAACTCCAGTAGGTTTGTGACACAGGTGTACCTGGGATCAGATGCAGGTGAGGGCAGGTGTACCTGGGATCAGATGCAGGTGAGGGCAGGTGTACCTGGGATCAGATGGTGGTGAGGCCAGGTGTACCTGGGATCAGATGCAGGTGAGGGCAGGTGTACCTGGGATCAGATGCAGATGAGGGCAGGTGTACCTGGGATCAGATGCAGGTGAGGGCAGGTGTACCTGGGATCAGACGCAGGTGAGGGCAGGTGTACCTGGGATCAGATGCAGGTGAGGGCAGGTGTACCTGGGATCAGACGTAGGTGAGGGCAGGTGTACCTGGGATCAGACGCAGGTGAGGGCAGGTGTACCTGGGATCAGACGCAGGTGAGGGCAGGCAGTTACAGGTGAGGGTATGTGTGGACAGTCAAATACGAGAGGTGGACACAAGGTGAATAGGAGAAAAATGTTTTATTCATCATAAGAACATATGAAAGAAGGAACACTGCAGTAGGCCTACTGGCACATGTGAAGCAGGTCCAAATCCTCTACCGGCCCAAGCCACTGGCCCCAGCTAGTCAGGTCCAAGTCATACCCACTTAAGAAGGAAGGAACACTGCATCAAACCCACCAGCACAAACCAGTCAGGTCCAACTCACACCCACCCACTCCCACTCATATTTATCTAACCTATTTTTAAAACTACACAAGGTTTTAGCTTCAATGACGCTACTCCGGAGTTTGTTCCACTCGTCCACAACTCTATTACCAAAGCAGTGCTTACCTATATCTTTTCTGAATCTAAATTTTTCCAACTTGAAACCATTGTCATGGTTGGAAATTTTCAGCACGTTCTTTACATCCCCTTTATTTATTCCTGTTTTCCATTTATACATCTCTATCATGCCCCCCCCCTAATTCTACGCCTTTCTAGAGAGTGCAGATTCAGGGCCCTCAATCTATCCTCGTAGGAAAGATTTCTGATACATGGGATTATCATTTTCGTCCTTCTTTGTACGTTTTCAAGCGCATTTATATACGTTCTATAATGTGTGGCATAATTTAAATGAGCCCTAACCAACGACATATAGAGTTGAAGAACAACCTGCGAACTCCTGTTATACTTCTTGATATGAAGCCAAGAATTCTGTTCGCTTTATTTCGAATACTCACGCACTGTTGTTTCAGCTTTAGATTAATGTTAACCAGAAAACATGATAAACAGAAAAAAACATCTCCTGACGTGGTTGCAAATCAATGAAAATTTTGGTCTTCTGACCGAGGCCTATCAGTCACTTATCGGTCTACCACGTAAGAAATTCTATATTATATTATGAAATATATCCAGCAGTGCATTAGTTATTAAAACTTTAAATTTCATATTAAATTTACATAATATTTTCAAAATTTCACATGTATATACAATTTACAATCATTACTTTTATCCTTATTGGGACCTGGGTTTACCATTCACTAATAACAATACATAGGTAAACACAATCACTTAAACCTCCCCAAAATCTGAGGTGGCATCATCCTCTCCTCACAGGTGGTGAAGGCGATGTATACTATAGGGTTGGCTGTGCGTCGGGCTGTGGTACACACGTGTGGAGGAACAGGCTGGTGCAAAAACGCCAGTGTGACCTTTACTGCTATCACCGACGATAGCCCTGACGTGATTGAAGCATTTTCCATCAAAGCTGAAAGACCACGTTACCAGGTGCTGCGTCTCTCGCCTCTACATACGAGCAATCCCAAGAGACTCGTCTTCTCCAAGGTAAGTCGTATGGTACAACGGTAAGAGTGTGACAATAGTCATGAACTTCGTAGGGCTGATATTAATATGGTATGACAACAGCTGTAGACTTGGTGGTACTGATGGTTACTATTGCGACCCCTGAATGGGTCACAATGTATATAATGTATATTACTTGTTCATATAATTTTATATTGCTTATATTTGCGATAATAGCTAAATCGTAAATATATTGCTTTATATTATTATTTGACTTAGTTATATTATTAGGTAGGATGTAACATTTATATATATTATTCAGTGCTCATAGTTCAAGTCTTGATTGTCTAACTGCTGAAATTATCGCTCGTTGCTCGTTTCCCTGCCGGCTTCTCGGTGTTGCTGGGCAGCAGCAGCACGGAGTCACGTGATCAAAGGCAGGGGTGTTCACATCTCGCCTGGAGTAGTGTATGGGCTTCTCAACTCTCTTGTCGGTTGGACGTTCTCCTGGCAAGACGCCCCACACTCCTCTCTCTTGTGGGCCCTTGTTGGAAGATTGTCTCTGTCGTTTTCTTGTTGTTGGTTCTGTGGAACTTTGTTCACAGAACATTGTCTAGACTTAGTGATTTTCGACGTTGTACTGAGGTTGTGTGTCGCACAGACACTCTGAGAAACTCAGGTCCTGAGTTGTAGCTTCTGACCTAATTTGTACTGGTATCTGTGTACTGTCACAGTCGGGGATTTTCTTATGCTGAACTTAGATTCAGTAGTATGGGAGTTTTGTGACTTTTGTGGAGGATCTGCAGATGATCCCTACTTAGTGTCGTTATATTATCTCCTTGTTTCTGATTGTGTCGTTATTGCTTGCTATATTGTTGTTCGGCTTATCAGTCATTTTATTGTTCAAGCAAGCTGTTCTGACTGCCAGGTTGGTCAAGAAGTTAGTTGATATGAGGACTTTGTCAGTCACTGGTTTAAGTCTAGTCGAGTCGTGAGACATAGCGAACTACTTAGAGCACTTACACACATACACAGAAACTTATTTGTATATATATGTATTATTAAATGTTAATGTACCAGACGGTACTTAAGACATATAAATGTGATATGTGCCTTCAGTACAATATTACTGTACACGAGAGAAGTGATTATTTTGATTATGTTCATTACATTAATTTAATTTGATAATATACTCCTAGACATCTTTGTTATTAATAAACTTAATAAATTTTAATTTCTTTAGTTAGTAGCCTACCAGTTGCAATCCTGAAGCACTAATAATTATTATTGAATTCTAATGGATAATTGGACCAGGATACTGACTACTTGTTACAAAAACCCAGTAACAGACTGGATGCTAGTAGGGCAGTCCTTTTTAGTATTCACTGGAGATCTCTATGCTTATTAGAAATCGCGTTTTTTTTTGTAACAGTTACAAGGTGTGACAACAGGTGAAGATGTAATTATATAGACACTTAGACGGTAGAGGCTAGTTCCTTCCCCGGTGCTCCTTATACACTTCCTTACTTGAACGAGATGATGGGATCTTCATTTTAGCATTTGTGTTGGTAGTAAATGTGTTATACTACTACTACTACTACTACTACTACTACTACTAATAATAATAATAATAATAATAATAATAATAATAGTTTTTATATTTATATTATTCCTATTATTATTGTCAGTAGTAGTATAAGCAATTATAGTAACAGTAATAATGGAAGTGGTACTTGAAGTAGTAGTAATGGTAGTAATAACCAAAAGCAACAGTCGCAGTAGTAGTAGTAGTAGTAGTAGTAGTAGTAGCAGCAGTAGTAGTAGTAGTAGTAGTAGTAGTAGTAGAAACTACAATTAGTAGCAGTGAAAGCAGTAGCATCATTACATTACTGACGTACAATACCAACAACATGAGTAATAAGACTCCAGTCTTTATCAGTTCACTACAGAAGATATTTGAAGGTACTAGTACTGAAGACGAGGTCGTTAATTCCTGCGTATGTTGAAGATCCTTACTTGTCAGTGCATGGCAAAATAACATTAAATTTAAACAGCTTTTGCAAATGTCTTACTTCAAAGCCAATTAACTGATACAGGGAGGGACAGCAGGCAGCATTGGAGGAATATCAGGCAGCATGGGAGGGACAGCAGGCAGCATGGGAGGGACAGCAGGCAGCATGGGATTGACAGCAGGCAGCATGGGAGGGACAGCAGGCAGCATGGGAGGGACAGCAGGCAGTATGGGAGGGACAGCAGGCGACATAGAAGGGACAGCAGGCAATATAGGAGGGGCAGCAGGCAGCATGGGAGGGACAGCAGGCAGTATAGGAGGGACAGCAGGCAGCATGGGAGGGACAGCAGGCAGCATGGGACAGCAGGCAGCATGGGATTGACAGCAGGCAGCATGGGAGGGACAGCAGGCAGCATGGGAGGGACAACAGGCAGTATGGGAGGGACAGCAGGCAACATGGAAGGGACAGCAGGCAGCATGGGAGAGACAGCAGGCAGCATGGGAGGGACAGCAGGAAACATGGGAGGGATAGCAGGCAGCATGGAAGGGACAGCAGGCAGCATGGGAGGGACAGCAGGCAGCATGGAATGGACAGCAGGCAGCATGGAAGAGACAGCAGACAGCATGGGAGGGACAGCAGGCAGTATAGGAGGGACAGCAGGCAACATGGAAGGGACAGCAGGCAGCATGGGATTGACAGCAGGCAGCATGGGAGGGACAGCAGGCAGCATGGGAGGGACAGCAGGCAGCATGGGAGGGACATCAGGCAGCATGGGAGGGACAGCAGGCAGCATGGGAGGGACAGCAGGCAGCATGGGAGGGACATCAGGCAGCATGGGAGGGACAGCAGGCAGCATGGGAGGGACAGCAGGCAGCATGGGAGGGACATCAGGCAGCATGGGAGGGACAGCAGGCAGCATGGGAGGGACATCAGGCAACATGGCTAACAAAGTTCCATAGGGAGCAGTGTTTCTCACTCAAAAAACTTGTATATAACAAAAAACTTATTAGGTACAAAGAGCACATACTAAGGTATAAAGTGAGTTTAAAGATAATCATCATCCTAAGTGAGCTTAAAGATAATCATCATCTTAAGTGGTTAAAAATATCTCATCTAAAGCTTAAAATAATCATCATCCTAAGTGAGCTTAAAGATAATCATCATCTTAAGCGAACTTAATGATAATCATAATCCTAAGTGAGCTTAAAGATAATCATCATCCTAAGTGAGCTTAAAGATAATCATCATCCTAAGTGAGCTTAAAGATAATCATCATCCTAAGTGAGCTTAAAGATAATCATCATCCTAAGTGAGCTTAAAGATAATCATCATCCTAAGTGAGTTTAAAGATAATCATCATCCTAAGTGAGCTTAAAGATAATCATCATCCTAAGTGAGCTTAAAGATAATCATCATCCTAAGTGAGCTTAAAGATAATCATCATGCTAAGTGAGCTTAAAGATAATCATCCTAAGTGAGCTTAAAGATAATCATCATCCTAAGTGAGCTTAAAGATAATCATCATCCTAATCCTAACTAATAATACTCTGTATTATTTTAATCACGTGTACTGAGGCACAGTTGGCTGGGATCATATAATTCAAGTGTACAAACCTGGGATCAAACAGTAACAAAAATACATCTAGTTAATTTTAGCTAATAATGTATGTATGTATGTACACTGTTTATTCTTAATTTCAGGAATTAGAGAAATGTATGTTTTTCTGTTTTTTCAGTGTTTTTCATCACAACTTACAAAATGTAATGAAACTTTGTCCGTTAATTCTGTTTAATCATGGAGAGAGAGAGAGAGGAGAGAGAGAGAGAGAGAGAGAGAGAGAGAGAGAGAGAGAGAGAGAGAGAGAGAGAGAGAGAGTCACTCAAGTTCTGAACCGTAATTTTAGATTTTGAGTTTGAAGAGCGTTTTTTTTTTTCCAATTTTCTGAATTTTTTTTAAAGCATTACAGTTTTATGTTTAATATAAGTGGAAATTATTCAAACATCTGTTTTCATAAATATTTTTTGATTATGTTTCTATTATGGTATAATAGATTCAGAAATTATTTTTTTTTTCAGTTTGTATTTAGTAATGAGTAATGACAGTGATATCTCTGAGAAATTAAATTATTTAATAATTAACCTTCATATGTTATTTAATACAATTGTGCAACAGCATTCTATTTTACATTGATTATAAACATCATAATTTAAAAAAAAATACAATACAGAAAAGTATCGGTATTGGTGCTGGTATCGGCAAAAATTTTGGCATCGTCCCACCTCCATTTGGAATGATTTGGTTTTGTATATTCCATTTTTTTGTGGAAGAAATTCGAAAAATTTAAAAACTGTTTTTCGTGAAATAATTTCTGAGTGTTGCATCTGATTGGCTTCAACCCTTGAACATGACAGCTTGATAAAGTAGTTTCTGATCGGCTTCAAGCTTAATGTGCTGCTGTATTTTAGAATTTTGGTCTCTCTTTAGATATGAGCAAAATGTCTAGTCAGTTTAGCTTCTAAGATGTTGTTTCTTATTGGAATACTAAATTAGATTTGGGCTGTGTATAATTAGGGCTATGATTGTTTTACTTTTTTTCCAAATGAAACATCTGTCATAAATCGATGAACTTTTCTTTAAAAACAATGGAAAAGACCCTAATTCCTCTCAGTTTTCAAAAAGGTCACCCCTAAATAACAACTATGAATCACCATATATCTGCGTTACTACTCATAAGTAGCAACTCAGGAAAATACTAACTGGCAACTCAAATTAATGAACAATATTAATAACCATATAGTATTTACGTTATTAATCATAAGTAGCAACTCAGAAAATTACTAATTGGCAACTCTATATACTGGCGTCTACTACTATTGTTATCATTCTCTCGTTGTATTTGACAGAGGAGTGCATCAGTGAGTACCACTTGTCTGACAATATATTGACAGGTATTGTCTAACAGTGTGGCTTTTATTGTCAATATTTGACATTCATGTCACTGTAAACTTTTCTAGTTTCTAGAACTGTTA